AGATAAAAAATAAAAGTAAGGAACAAAAATGATCACTTTTAAAAAGTACAAAATGATTAAAACAAATATTTTAAAAGTACAGCTACTAAAATGAAGCATTTTTTTGGGCATTGGTGTTGGATTCTCAATTCAATCTGTTCCACTTTATGTCTCGGAGATGGCTCCCTCTAAGTATCGAGGCTCTCTGAATGTTGTTTTCCAACTATTATACACAAAAATCAGTCGGCTACAGATTAGAAGGGATTGAGGAAGAAACTGACGGAGAACCGAACCAGACCGAGAAGGGCTCTGTCCCAACCCCTGCTCGGTGCGGAGCCGGGCTCTGTCCACGGCCAAGCCCGGAGATCGTTTTCCTTTAGTCGACATTTCCTTTTGGGCCTTGTCACCACGAGCTATGGCTCCACTGTAGAAGGTTCTGGAACCATTCCCGCATCTATAAAGTAAGCGATGCAGTCTAACCCTAGGGGGCACGTAACACACTGGAAATTCACCATTTCTCAACTCCCCTTTGCTAACTTAGGCATCGGAACTCGGGTGACTAAGGTCACACCGGTTTAGGTTGATTCGGTTTTGCAGGTTCCAGTTCCCTGATCAACGACTTAGGTGTGAGCGAGAGGGTGATCCGGAAGGTAGAAATCCTCACATCAACACATTCTATTTTTTATAATTCTTCAATTGGTATATACATGTAATGACCTTCTAATTTAAGTAATTGAGTTGCATAGTGATATATGCATGTATTGCCCTTCTAATTTAATTAAAAAATCACACCAATGGTGGTAGAATCGATGAAATGGGAGACATTGAAAAAATACTTAAATTAATTCAAATTCAAAACAAAATAATTTAATTGGTGGTAATATATTTAGGAAACAACTCAAAATCCTTGAATATAGGGAAAAAAAAATGATTTCAAATCAAGTTTGTTCGGTGGTTGAATATGAGAAGTAAAAAAAAAAACATGGTCAAAGGCTAAAGTTGGAAAATCACCTTATTTTTTCAAACTCCTAAAAGATGATTTAGCGATTTGTGTAAAATTAATAACTAACGACTATTTTTCAAAAAATGAGGATATAAATTTAGCTACAATCTAAATTATCCTTGTAAATATACATATGAATTTGTACATGGTAATACACCAATATTATTTTAGGAAATTATGGCAATCATTCAAAAAAATTTCTACTTGTTATTTATTTACGTAATTAATCACATTTTTTATTATTATTTAAAATTTTTCTTTAAGGATCCCTAGTACAGTTTTTTCAATGCAATCTCAAAACATTTCTTAACAATGAGAAACGTGAAATAAGAACATTTATCAAACGTTTATAATTTTTTTTTTACAAAGAATCGGAAATTATAGGTCCCCTTTGATAATATTCTGGTTTATTGTTTTCTCCATTTTTTTATATATAAAAAAAACAGAATTGCATTTGGTAACTGTTTCTTGTCATTTATTAATTTATATATTTTATTTTAAATAAAAGGTATCATTGAATTTAAATTAAATAAGTAAAAATTTTGAAAGAAAATAATTTTTAAATTTAATATTCAAAATATTTATGTTATTATTACTTTTTATTATTGATTACGCACTTGTCAATAATCATAAAACAATATTTTTATTTATATTTTGAGGGAAAAAATTTGATGAGAGGAAAAAAAAATAAATTTGATTTTGTTGTTTTCAAAATTTGTATTCAATTTTGGAAACATTTTTTAAACAAATAATAAATAAGAAACATAAATAGTTGTCAAATGCTTAAGTTTACCATGAAAATAATAAATGGAAACGTTCCTAAAACAAACTCTTACTAAACAGACTCTAAATAGTTTAGGCTGTTAACAATATCGTTCTACAATTAATAAGAAGTTCAAAATGCAATGGTAATTAAAATATAAAAGACTTAAAATTGAGTATTGTTAGGGTGTGTTTGAGAGTCATTTTAGTATGACTAGAATCATTTTTACAAATGTAAAAACGTTAAAATAATTATATAAAAATAACTTTCACAAAATTAAGGATAAAATACTATTTTGATGACTAATTTAGTTCATTTTGGTTCCGAAACATTCACATTGTTAATTTTGGTCCCTACACTTTCAACTTTGGTTTATTTTTATCCCCCATGTTCGTTTCGGTCGTGGTACTTTTAGAAAGTGACTATTTTGATCCTTATTATTTTCAAAATTTTAACACAAATTATACACATAATGAAAATCTTTTAATATAAAATAATGATTACATTTCAATGAATATATTGTGCGTAGCTAGTGTTGTGTTTAAATTATGATAGAAAAAATCAGATAAAAAATAAAAGTAAGGAACAAAAATGATCACTTTTAAAAAGTACAAAATGATTAAAACAAATATTTTAAAAGTACAGCTACTAAAATGAACCAAAATTAAAAGTATAGGAACCAAAACAAACATTTTGATAAAACAAATATCTTGGATTCTTACGAAACAAACGGCACATTACATTTTTCAATAAAACTGACCTAGAATAAAAAAACGGGTTGGTGGAGCTCCGCTTCGCGCCTGGAGCGACTTCTTTTGGGCTTTTCCCGAAGGTCCTTTGGCTCTTCAAGAGTCCAAGAGACCCAAAAGGGTCCTCGTTTCCGAGCCCTCCATGAGATGGGGCCTGAGGCTCCCCTTCAGTCGCTACCCTTTCGACCGTGCTCCCATTGGAGAGGGGGAAGGTTCCGCGGGTTTGATCGCTTAGGACCACCTCGATCAGTCTCCCATTTGAGAGGTAATTTGAACATTAGCTGCCCGCATCTCGCTGCAAAACCCGGCACTTTTGTGATGGGGGTGCCCCACCTTCTGCTTGCCTAGATGGCCGATTGGGCGAAGGGTCTTGACAGCATCTCGGGTTCCCATTGCTTTTCGTGGCGCAGGGGGAGTCGGGGCGGGCTTGTCAACGGGGTTGTTACGCCGACGCTCCTCATCGATGGCATTCTTGTAGGATGACTACTTGTCGGAGGCCATTCCGATGATATCTTAGTGTGGATAACTAGTTTTCATTCTGGCTTGAAAAAATCGTTCCCACAAACCACGCCAACTAGGAATGCAACTAATTGATGGATGAGTTTCGTTGTCGGGGTTGGTGTGTAGGGAACATGTTTAATTCCGTAATTTTGTAATTTGTGTTTCAGAATACTAGTATATTCTAAATTGATATATTAGTTTCCTTGTTCATGTTTAATATTGTTCAACTTTGTTATCTAAATTACTATATTTGTGTGTTCGATCGACAATTTGACTATGATATTTCTATTACGCAATATCTTCAAGGTCTTTCCGTGACCTTGTATCACCGTCATGAAATCATTTTTCATGATGTTTTATGAACATCGTGGAAGTCCATGTCTTTCATGACGATAATTAACCGTCACGTGTGCTAATTTTTGTGACGTTTTTTAAACGTCTCTTATACCTTTCGTGATGGGCGTATACGTGACGACGTTAAAAACGGCACGAAAGATTTTTGTGACGTTAAAAAAACGTCACAATAAACCGAATTTCTACTAGTGAAGTTTGCTTCTTAGCACTCCAAAAAATACGATTATGACAAAAAAAAAATATATATATATATAACAAAACTCATAGAACGATGATTAGTGGGTCCTTACTCCCCAGTCAAATCCGAGTCATAAAAGGCACGAAAACTAAGAGAATCAGATAGAAAATAGAGAATTTACTAATAGAGAATGAAATATTAGGTCATGTAGAGGATAAATAATGAACCAATAATGAACACCAATGATAGCTTGATAATTACGAACATCATCAGGAGAAAAATCAAGAAATTAAGAGTAATTTCTTATATTTTTCATATTGCATTTTCTGATTTGCTAATATAACGTTTTTTAATTTATATTTTGAAAAAGGAATTGTATCTAAATCATTTAACCTGCAAAAACAATTTTTTTATTTTTTGTTCCCGTTTCTAATTTGTTCAAAAATAAAAAATAATAATAATAATTTTATCATTCTTGAACCCACGAATTTTGAAACCGTACAATTCTATTTTCTTTATTACCAAAAAAAGTAGAAACAAAAAACGAGAACATGACTAAAAAAACCCTTGATTTTGTCGTTTTCAAAATTTTTACACAATTTTAAAAACATTTCTTATTAAAGAGAAATGAGAAACAAAAATAGTTACTAAACGCTAATGTTTCTTGAAAATTGAAAACAAAAAACGAAAACGAAAACATTATTAGTGTTTATTGGAAATTAAAAACAAAAAACGAAAACGAAAACATTATCGAATGACCTTTTAGTTTCAAATTTAACTAATTCAAATTTAACTAATCAAACATGAAGATGTAGAACCATATATTAGCATTCATTACACTACAAAAACCAACACTCTCGCATCAAATCCTACCGATAAGCTAATAATTAAACAACAACAAGATACAAAACTCGCATTGATTAACAGAATGAACCCGTGGAATATGTGATCAGTATAAGTAAATCTAAATTTATCCATCACTTGTCCATGTGAATGCTAGAAGAACAATGACGAGTGCAACAGATATCGTTGCACAAGCGAAGAACCACAGCACCCCGCTCTCACGCCGGTTGTCGCTCTCTTCATTAGTTACCTCGATTTCTTTCAGAAGTTCTCTCACGTTATTGATATCGGCATCTTTCGCAGCTTGCACCAGCTTACTTTGAATCTTCTCCAACTTCGATAGTCTTCGACGCTTCAAGACATCTTTAGCTGACCAAATGAAACCAGTCATTTTCCAGAGGAGAATGCCCACATATATTGCAACAACACAATCAACAGTGTAATGGTGCCGCTCTCGTATTTCACGCTGAGCACTGTGTATTACGAAAAGCCATACGACAACCGAGCTAAGACCTCCATAAGCCTCCTGTTTCAGCACCTCATGTATTAAGAGACTAAACTATATATTTAGCAAAAAAAACATCACATTAAGCACACTAGATTATATACCGTCCAGGCCATGGCCGTGAGCACTGCAACAAGCATGTGGCCGCTGTATAGAAGGTCGTTGCAGCCACCCCCGGCCTTCTTAAGTAAATTGTACCAGGAAGAACCTTCAGAAGCTGTTGGTCGTAGGAAATCAAGTAAGAAGCTCATTATACCCCAATCTGGTCTGTAGTCGCCAAGAATCTGTCCAGGATCAGCTGGGAAAATAACATTATATATATTAACACCTAAGAAAAGTGGAAGCACACTGCATAAAATGGATAAATTTTTGCGACCATTATGTTCAAACTACAAACTACAAAGATATGTCATATAAGAGAACAAAAAACTTACGAAAATAACACCGGGAGTACCTTCAAAATAAGTGTTTACGAAACTAAGAATGCAAGAAGATTAAATGTGTGTTCGGGAGTATATTTAAAATAAACGTTTTTACCGTAAGAACTTCAATGATAAGCACTCTAGAAAAATGTGCTTAATAACGAATCATTTTGATGCTTGGTTCTACACTTTTAAAAAGCCTTTGAAGTGCTTAATTACCAGCCAGGTACTTGGTTCAAAAAGTAAGCTATACTCAATATTGATCCTCATAAAGCACTTTTTCTTGTAACCTTAACCAAAAAAGAACTCTTAAGCTACTTCTAAACCTGATGATGATTTTGAATGAAAAGCATTTTCCGTCATGACAAAAATGGAATGATCTGTGGTACTTACCAAAAGCTATGTCCCGATTTATTAACTGGCGAATTGTATCAGCATCTCCAGCATAAGGAATATAGTACTTCTGTGCCCACCGATGAGGGTACGGTGGGACTCTGAATCGAGTATAAGCACACCATGGCCTTGCAGATGGAAGAATTGTCGATGCAAAAGTTATGGCCCTAAGAAGTCTGCCAATCGCCATCGTGAACATGTACCTTGCAGCAAGTCCAAGTCCAGGAGCTTTTACTGAGTCGAATAGCACTGAGAATCCCAGCATAATGAACAACATCAGAAAGTGGTGCAGTCCAATAATACGAGCTCTCAATATGTCAACAACAGCTTGAGGAAGTTTCTCGTTTAACGCCAGGAGAAACCATTGGCCAGTGTCGGGAAGAGGCGATGCCTCACTGTCAAATGTCAAGAAAACCGCGATCTTAGAATTTCAACTAAAGAGAAAACTACAGGGAAATAAAACTAGATGACTTTCTAAAGAGTTAATCAGATCAATGCTCACAATTTCTAAGTCATTAGTCAATTGAAAGCAAAAAATTAGTCGCTCTAGCGTGTACTTTATCACAACTAAATTGCAATTAGATTCACAGAGAATGCAGAACAAGAAGCATGTACTTCACCATGGCTGTGCCATACAAGAATTATTGCTTGCAACATTCAATCCTCAAAAATCACAAAGCAAGACCTCAGTAGTTTTCTTTCAATCCAATGGCTACATCAACTTTCATCAGATGTTCTTGAAATCTAATGACTAAAAACTACATCAAATTTCATGCACACTCACTTCATCTTATTACATTCATACATGATAGAAAATAAAAAATAATAACAAATAATTAAATTATTTAAAAAAGAAAAAAAAACTAATTGACTGATGCTCTTAAAGTTCTAAACTGGGTTCTATTGGTTAATTAAGGAACACGTCAATACAATTAATTTTTTCGAGTCAACGCCTTCAACAGAATCCCGAGTTCGAAATCAGGTAACTCGAGCTGAACCACTTTCCAAAAATATCAGATCCGGCCAATCTTCCGATCCCACAAAAGGCAAACGAAACAATTTCCAAAACTGGCGAATCAACCAGCGCGGATCCATAGAATCACATCTAAAATAAGCTACAATTAATTTTGAGGTTAAAAATCAGAAATCAAACTCCTACAGCAAATCCGATCCAACTGATTTTGCAAATAATGAACACGCACAAAAAGAGCGACAAATCCAGATCGAGAAAAGGAGAGTAGGTAGGGTTACTTGTGCCAGTCAAGACCGAGGACGGCGGTGACGAATCGAACCGAGAGGGCTTCGAAGAGCAGAGCGGCGAGCATGAAGAGCATGGAGGAGACAAATGGAACGACGGAGCGAAACTCAGGAGACCAGTGCTTGTAGAATGGAACGCGAAGAACGGCAGCAAGCGCGAGAAGGGACCAGAGGGCTGGCTGGAGACGGGCGTGCCATGCCGGCGAGAGGTGGCTCAAGTAATCGATGGAGACGTAAGATATGGCGATGAGGCCAAGTCCGCCGCCCTTCGCCGCCGGCCACCGCATTTGGTGCCGCTGCCGCTGCCGCTGCGGACAGTGAAGGGAAGAGAGTAGACACAAACCCCCAGTGGCTATGGCTGTTAAAAGAGTGATAGTTAGTTAAGGGTGAAATTTATTAGGGGTTTTCTTTCTTTAGTTTGGGGTTTGGAAAAATGTTGAAGTTATAGATTTTGTAACCGAATGTGGATACATGTGTTTATGACTTTATTCAACTCTTACATTTTAATATATTACACCTGGGACCGTTTGTTTTGTGAGAATCTAAGATTGTCGTGGGATGGACATTTGAATTCTCACGTTTGTTTTGTGGTAATGTAAGATATCCGGATATCTCGAAATGTCCGAGTATCCTATGATGTCCATTTGGAAGACATTCGAGTCGATTTTGATGCCCTTTTGAAACATGGGTTTTCATGATTCCCATGTCGAGAGTATCCTATGTCGACGTTTTTATCCCTTTGTTATTTTTTCATATGGATTGACCAATAAGCAATTAAGTATATTTATGTATTACATGTACATATAAAATAAACTTCAATTTTAAATTATATAATATCTTCATTTAATTTTAATATTTTGAATGAATTATTATGAATAATATCTATTATCTTAAATACATAATTTTAAAATAACATTTTTCAACGATCAGCTTACTTTGCTGTTTTTCTTCTTAAAAGAATATAATTTGATAATATAATAAATGAATTTTATCCCATATAATATTAATTATATAATTGTATTTTTAAAAAAATATTAAAGCTGAAAATGAAATTTATATTCAATATTAATTACTTTTCAAAAAAAATCTTATATTAAATGAATTCTACCAAATAACATACAAAAATTAATAAATATATGCAATTATAATGTAAAATAATCTAAAATATTAAATTAATTTTAAGGAAATCTATTACATAAATGCAAATTATATTAGGTTGATGTATAAATTATATGAATATTCGTAATGGCGTTTTTGGAACATTATATAAATTTAGAACATTCCCATAAATAAATCCTACAAAACAAACGTGGTTATCCAGATATTCCCGGACATCCTTATATATTTTCCTACGAAACAAACGTGGTCATATGAAGATGTCAGACATCTAAAATTCTGGACATCTGAAATTCCAGACATCTGAAGATGTCGTGCATCTACATTCCCAAAAAACAAACGGGCCCTTTTTGTATTTTCAATTTTGGTTACGTTCGGTATATTAGCAAAGAAAAAGATGGATCTTATGGTCTTCGATCACGACACATGTAAGAAATAAGGCTATACTTAGGAATACGAACAAGAAAGTTAGAAACACTACTAAAGTAGGTAAACAACATAAGACATACCATGTACCGAAAAACAAAACAAACCATAACAACTAATTTATTAAAATTAATTCCAAGCAGGCTCTATTGCTCACACCAAATTTCTAGAGAAATTTGATTCATGGAGTTAGAACATTGATTTGGTATGTTTTCGATCCTTTTATCTTTTTAGTCTTTCTCTTGAACTTGATTTGATTTTAATGCAAAGTTATTTTTTATAGAGTTTGGAACAAAGCACGAGCTTTTGAAATTCTTCAATTTTTCAAACTATTCAAATTTTTAAGTCTTCAAATCTTTAAATCTTCAAATAGAATGTAACGCCCCGAGTCCCTCAGGTTAGTTAGTCTCGAATCAGGAGATTTTCATTTAATTTTAAATTAAACTTTAATTAAATTTATATATATCGGGTTCCGCGTGATTGGTTTTATCTTAAGTTGGGATGGGTTTCTTTTTCTCTTGGGCTTGGGTTATGTTGGGCTTTTATTGGGTTGGTTTGGTTTTAAAACAAAGGAAAAGAAAATTAATAAAAAGAAAAAAAAACAGATTAGGTTTCCATCTCTTTCTTCCTCCCCTTGCCCTAGCCGNACAAAGGAAAAAGAAATTAATAAAAAGAAAAAGAAAACACACTAGGGCTCCATCTCTTTCCTCCTCCCCTTGCCCTAGCCGCCAACCTCCCTTTCTCTTCCTCTCTTCCTCCGGCAACCGACGACACCGGCGGCGCACGACAGCTTTCTGGCAGCAGCAATCGGCGGCCAACTCCCCCATCAACGGCGAGCCCTCCGTGCAGCGCCTCCAGCGGTCGGCAGCAAACGACGTTACTTCGTGGCGGCGCATAGTCCCTCCGACGAGTCCCCGACGACGACAGCAACACGGTGCAATTAACCCAGCGATAAGGTGTTGCTCCTCCGTCTACGTGCAGATCCGGCATTGCTCCTCCCCTGCACTTCAATTTCTTGCGTCTTCGAGTAACTCCGGCGAGATCCCACAGTGTTCAACAGCAACCCTCCACGAAAGGTGGCGATTTGTGGCATCTTCCCGGTGGCGTGCGTTCAACGAATAAGAACCCGGCGGCCTGAACTCACGACCAGTAGCCATTTCAACATCCTACACAGATCTCGCAGCAGATCGAGTGGTTTTGCATTCATTCGTGACAGATTGTCATTTAGGAACGGCTCTTGACGGCTTCGGGTCCAAACAACACTCCTTCATCACCTAGGCTCGTGTACAACAGTGTTCGGTAGCTGATTTGGTGTGTCTCCTCTGCTGCAGCTCGTGGACAGCAGCGTTTCAGTGGCATTCGGGCTTACCCACATCCGTTCGAAGCCCGATTTAGGCTACCGACACCTTGGCGAGCTAGATCTAAGTTACCCACACATATACAAAGTCGATTTTGTGGTAATGAGTCATTTGAACCCTCTTAGAATTTATTTCGAAGGCTGAATCGTATATGTAACTTGCTGTTTTTTTCTGTTTTAGTGCCTAGGTGTGAGATCGACGCAAAACTTAGGGGCGCGGTTGTGTGTAAGTAGACAAGGGGCGTGTGCGTGCGTTAATGTGTGTTAGTTGGTTTCTAATGTGCTGTTTTGTGATGTTTAATATTGTTTTTGATACGCTATTGTGTTAGGTAACTCTCGTTTGTGTTAATCTGTATACTTGGTGTAGTGTCGAATATTCGTCGGTGATAATGGTGGAATTTTGCCTTGTTAAACTGCTGAGAATTGTTGTAGGATGATGTGTGTTTACAAAGGATGCTCGTTAAAATGGAATTATTGCGATTATGCTTTCTTATGATGCGGGCGTGCTAGTATAGTTTATATAAATGTTTCTTTATGAT